TACAGCCGTGTTTTTTATGGCTGTAGATGTAATTATTTTGTAAATTTCAAGATTCAATGTTAAGAATGTCATAGTAGAAATTGAAGATTAATTTTGCTGAGAGAAAACTTACTACTCTGCTTCATTCACGGAATATGTACAACTATGGATAAGGAATTGTTGCAAAAGCACTAAGAAGAATATACTAGCTCATCCTATAATTATATGACAGGTGTCTAACAAATTAAGAGCCTGTTTGGTAGGGATTTTTGGGGGAAGAATTGATTTTTGAATAGTGAGATGATAGGAAATGTGTGGTTGAAAAAGAAGAAATTTTTTGTGATGTGATGGAACATATTATTTTATTAAAGAATGTATGGTTGAAAATGAGAATTGATTTACTGTAGAATTAGAGAATTCCAAACAAACAAACTCTGAATTTATTTTCTTGTCTGGAGAAAGCTGCAACCAGCAGAAATTTTCTACCCTTGGAAAAGTTTAAGGATTAATTTATTTGTACATTTCTCCTTCATATCTTGGACGATATCTCTATATGTGTATGAAATCTAGTCATTGATTGAAAAGAATGTTGTTAAAATTAATGTAAAAAAAATGTTGTCAAATTACACAATATTATACATGATGTCAAACTTGATGTATACCAAGAAAAACTCAAAGTTTAAACCAATAGGAACTGAACTCAAATCTTATCCTCGTTAGGTGAAATTTTGTAGATGGGTGTCTATAATCAACTTCAATTTACTTTATAGTATAACTTTTTGAATTTTCACACTATTATTATTATTTTTAAAATTCAAATAAGGGTTGGAATCGAAATAAACCTCAAAACTAGAAGAAAATGTGGAAAGTGAATAGAGTCAAAAGTAAAAATTACTTCGAAAATTTGTGAGTGAGCAGGGAGGAACATAATGGATCTATTGAACAAGATCTTTGTTTCAACAAGTTTTGAAGTGAAAAATAAAGAGAAATTTGCATTCTTTAACAAATTAGGTCAGGAAACTAATTCCTTGAATAATGTTATTTAACTCCACTAATAGTCTTTATGACTCTTGCCTTGTAAAAAGCTTGAGTTAGTGAAGCAAAGAATTTGATGGGATCATCATGACGCAAGAACTTATAATTTGTTAACGAATAAAACAATTAACAAAAAGAAAGAGGATCAAGAAGAGAAGAATTTAGGGTAAAGAAAATCAATTTTTATTCATATATTCAATTGTGAATTATAATGAATAAGAATTTTATTTCTAGAGAAAATAATTCAAGAGAAACTAAAAATAAACGAATTTCTACTAAATTAAAATTGTATCAAAATATCAAAATTAATCTTATTCTAATCAAATTAATTATGTTTTGAATCAAACTCTACTTTTAAAATCATATTTAAACTATACTTCAATTTGAACACAAGGAAATATTTAATTAAAGGTAGTAAAAGTGGTGTGGCCATCCTCTGAAATTATCAATAAAATGGAGTGGTTATAAATCGCCCCACTTGAATGGTGTATGAAGGTCAAGAAAAACAAATTTCAATTAAGTGTACAGTGTGTGAGATGCAGACACTGGTTTGTTCTGATTTCCCCAAATTCAAACCACGTTCCCATCACAAATTCAAGAAATCTACACCAATCCCATATTGCAGTCTGAGAAAAACAAGCACTAATTCTAATTGGGCAGCCATATCAGCAACCCTTTTCGGCACCGGCTTCTTCTTAGGTCCCCTTGTAGATGGGATCCATTCCAGAGTAAATCTTGTGGAATACCAAAATGGGGCAATTGATATTGGTCCTCTTCACACAAATATTTGGGTAAACATAATTCCTCAAAATTATTATTGTTGCCATTTGAATATATATATATTTTTATTATTGGTATGGTAGGTACCTCCTCTGCTTGGGCTGTTCTATTGCAGTGTGGGATTACTGCAACTTGTGCTTGATCAGAGGTTGCCATCTGAGGCAATCAACAGTAGCCCAGAGAAAACTGCTGCTTCATTTATGTGAGTCGATCTATCCCGACCATCTTCATTTACTCCAACTTTTGGTACTCGATATGAACCAAACAGGAAGAACTATTTATTTCAGAAACATCGAAGTCTAGCTAGACTAAGTTTTATGCCTCCATTACACTCAATGACCCTCTATACTAATAGTGGAAAATAATACAAGTGGGAGAGCGACGCGGCTACCTCATGAGTAGTAAACTTGTAAGTACGAGCGAGAGAAAAGGTAAATAAGAGTAGAAAGGGTAAAACTTTTGCAATGATCATAACACAAATCTCCTGCGAAAACCAAGTGAAAAGACATGGATTTGGTGGGCAAAGGATTGGATATTCTTGATCAATAACATGTGCAAATGAAAATGAGTATAGCCCATTGTACAACACACATAATTGGTAATATATTTTAATGATGAATGGCAGAGCCCTGGTGCTGTTCGTTGAATTAAGTGCAGAATTGTACAAAGCTGGAGTAGCAGACAACATTGAAGCCTACATATTATTTGCTGGGGCGGAATTGATTTGGTTACTGCTGGATAAGACTAGATTGGGATTTGCACTTGCTTGTGTTGTAGGCCTTTGTTGCCCACTTGCAGAAATTCCCATTATGAAGTAAGATTCGATCTGTCTATATTATTAATCAACTTTAATTTCCATAATCAAATTGTTTTTTTTGATAGACTGTTTGGGCTCTGGTACTATCCCCAAGCAAATGTCGAGATATTCGGTCAGGTAATTTGCATGTTTGGTAGATAAAAATGTACATCAAAAGAATTTTTAGGCTTTGTTTAATGCATTCGATTATGCAGGGACTAGTAAGTTGGACTATGACTTGCTATTTCGTGTATACTCCATTCTTGATAAATATATCACGCTCGATCAAAGCGATCATTGCTACTGCAAATGCTGAAGAAAGATCAATTTCTGAGTAATGGTTAAAATTAGAGTCGTTCCATTGATTGATGTAAATTGTTGACTCTACCAGTTTTCTTTTCAAATTTTTGATTTTGTAAAGTTTATTGTTGGTACTATTAACTGGAAGAGGTGAGGGCAAAGAATCATTTGAGTAAATGCAGCAAAATATAACATATCCTATATTTCAATTCAACGACTACTTGTTGAGACGAGTCCAAGCAAATCAAATCCTAATATTACTTGTAAATATTAGACTTGGGATGTTTGACATACGTGATCACATTTACATATTGTTGGCGACACGGGCTAAATATAAGTGCGGATGAAAGGGTTGTCGTATATTGAATGAACACAAACAAAGTTCAATCCACAGGAGCGTGATTAAACACTATAAATATGGGTGGAAATGTAGTATGTAAATTACAAACGAAAACCAAAAATTAAAACCAAGAAGGGAAGAAGAAGAAGAATCTGAGACAAATGATTTTTATTCTTTCCTTAAAACAATTGCCTCGCAACGGTGCTCACGGTTCACAACATTTGTCTCCCAAGATATAATGTATTCAACTTGTGGTAGAAGCACTTCAAACCACAAGTTAAGGAGAACTTTCTACGGAGTTTCTCTCTTCAAAGAAGAAAATGATTTTGAATGAATTTTGAAGTGATTTGTAAGAATTTTTATGCAATTCTCAATGCAAATATGGTATGTGATGTCTAATGAAAGTCCAAGGGATCCTATTTATAGAGGATGATGGGTTGTGAATGAAGTGTTGCGCCCCAAACTCAGCACCATTCACCATCGCTCGTCGTCGCTGTTGTCTCGCTTGAGCGATAAAAACAACGACTTTGTCGCTAGCTTGTTGCTAGCAGGAGCGACAGTCCAGCATTAGGCTAGCAACATACTTAGGCATATTCCCAGCAGTTTACTCTATTTTCTTCCCAACTTTGGACTGCAATTTCTCATTCATTCGGAATTGATTTTGAGATTCTAAATATGCCACGACGATCTACTCAATGAGAAGAACAAATTGGTCTATTTAGTTTTGTAATTTGACCATCGGA